TACATTATCTAAAGTTATCATGGGGAAAATCACAGGAGCAATAATTGAATTATGAAACTTACCTAAAGTTCTTAGGTTTCCACCTTGTCTATTTTCACACAAGTTCTCATTGTAAGCACTTTCCAGAGATTGTATTGTCCTCCTTAAGATGTTACAATTAGCAGGTGTGTGAGGCATAGAAGCATGGTTTCTTAGAGAATTCAACTTAACTAGGTCTGTAGAACTAGGAAAGCTAGCAGCTGAACCCTGGTGTCCCAGAACATCATCGATAAAATGAAAATCTCCACCTAAGAACAACCTGACTATTTTGCCTTTTAGCTTAAAATCTGACGACTGAATTCTTTTAATGTTGTTGGCAAAATGCCCGAGAACTAAGGCTATATTCTCACGACAGTCTGAACCCTGATACATACAAAACAAGTGAACATCGTATACAGACCCTGATGATTTAGAATTGACAACTTCAAAATGGAATTTCATATATTTCCCACCCTTATCACCAGCAAAAAGGAGCCATACTTCTTCGCCAAAACCAACATCCGAATTAAGGTGGTCGCGTACATAAAGATTAGTAAAAACCTCTTCAATATAAGTTGTCAAATTCTTGACCATCAGTACAGATACTAAACAAGGTGCTTCATTCGCAGATGGATAAAGTAACATGGACTTCACAGTGACATGTTCTTTATTGACATGCATTGTCTGCATTTCTTGTTCTTGTCTCATCTTGGGCTCAGATGGGAGAATCCTTGCACCAAGATTACACAGAATACGTCTTAGTCTACGGAATTCAGCCGTGGGCATCCTTAATTGGCTCTGTAGCTCTACAGCATCAGAAACACTTAACTGCTTAACTAAACCCAACTTATTTGCAACACAACAAAATACTGACTTTTCACAAGACATAGAATCACAAAACAACATAGACAAATCACTTTCTAAATCTGAACAAGCTAATAATCGAAGGAATATAAAAGCAAGTTTAGATCGTTTAGCTGCAGCATGCCTACCTAACTTAGAATAAGGTTTACCATTTCCTAACTTAATGTAAGTATATTTTTTACTAACTATTGGCTTTTTAACTGATATATTCTGTGGATTACTTAATTTAAACCCACAAAATAATTCAGAGGAACCAATGTTGTCGTAGTCTAAATAAGAATCAACCACAACTAAATCCTTATTGCAACTAGCAAAACATTTGCAAATTTGGCAACTGTTCTGGCTTAAATCACTAATTTTTGCAATTCTTTTAATAATTTTTTTTAACAATCTTACATTTTTGGCACGAGCAGATGCAAATTTACGCTGTGCTGTTTTAATTTTTTTTTTTTTTTTAAAGTTGGAACTGCTCCTCCTGTTTTAGCCTAATACTCATAGTCTCTAATTGAGAACTTAATGAGTTACAATGTGTGTTGAGAGCCCTATTTTTAGAATTTAAATCTGTAATTTCAGCTTCCAACTTAAATACTTGCATTTTAAATTTTTCTATTTGCTCCATATTTGTTTTATTTTCAGAGGTTAATTGATCAATTTGATTCAGTAGCTCCTGACTGTTATTTAAAGTGAAAAAGTCATCTGCATCTGCTGATTTTTTTTTTTTGGGTGGAGCTTGCGACAGTTGCATTTTAAAAAATTCTTCTTTTTTTATAGCTTTAAATTTTTTTTTATATTTCTTTTTTTGTCGTGTTAACTTTAGGCACATTTTATCAAACTCGTCATTACTAGGCATATCAAAATCAATTGGCAAAAGAAAACTCATAAAACTAAATAAATCACTTCTTATTTTAAAGACTGTCATTAAAATGGAAATGACATTGTTACTGATCTTATCTGTCCTAATTAATCGCTTAACAAAAGGAAAGTTACACCTATCTTCCCAACCATTTTTCCATCCAATATGTTGTTTTAGAATTTCCCTCTCAGTTGAATACATAGTTATCAAAATAATATTGACTTATTAATCAATATAATAAAAACAAATAAAATAATATTAATTAACAAATATATGCACAAGATAAAAGTGGATTTAACAACTTATCTGATATTAGTTTGATAATCCAAAGAGAAAAATTCCGCGTAACTTTGTTTACTTTATACTTCAAAAATTGACTCGCCGAAACAGTTGTTTGGAGAATATTCGTTAATAAATAGTTTGGGACGTAACGCATAAAGGTTACGTCATCGCAAAAAAAACGTCAACGCAAATGTACGCCTAAAACTAACAAGATTAGTTGTAAAACATGACATTTTTGAAAACATATTTCATAACATAGCTGAAGGCAAGTAAAATAATTTTTTTATTTTCATTTGCATAAAAGGTTGAAATTTCATTAACTTACGTCATCCATCAAAAAATTTATGTTTTGCATTTAAAAACGATTAATTAAAAAATATAAATGCTTTAAAAACAGTCTTTTTGTAAAAAAATCTCTAGGATGACGCAGGAATCTGATAGAATGGGCATTTAGGGTTAAGCATTCCAAATTTCAACTATCAAGCACTGAGCTATGTTATGAAATCTTAGTTGGCCCAACTCATGTTTTGCGGAAAATATGCGAAAATTAGAAAAGTGGTTCTAAATTATTAAAAATATTTTGGCAATATTTATTTTTATACCAATTAATGTAAATATTTATTTAACAAGGAAAGATAGATCTTTTATATTTTTTTAAATGCAAGATGAAAGCATTTATATAAAAAAGTTACTATTAATTTAAAGTTTGTGAATTTTTATACTTTTTATGCGGAAATACTTTTTTTTTTGATAAAGTCATGACGTCACGCTCGTTTTTATATTGAGTGAAACAGCCGTGCAAAATATATGTTATGTTTTCCCAGTTTATTTTATTTTAGGCTAGAGAAGTTGTAGTTTTTTTTTTAATATTTAGAATTTTTATTATCGTAGATCTTTGTATTTTAAATAAAATAGTTTAAATTCAATACTGCGCATTTTTTTAGATAGACTTATTGAGTTTTATTGAGTTTTTTTCTCTCGAAAACCTTGTTAGTTTACATTTAATACAATTGCATTACCGATTTATAAAAATTATGTAAATTTTTTTACTTAAAAAAATATAATATGCTAAGTGTCAATTTTGCGCATAAGCTCCACTTTTAGCGCCAAAAA